CAGGTCAGCTGTGGAATAAAAAGAGCTGCTAAAAGTATAAACAACTGTGTTAAATCATTTTCATTTATTCAGAAGCGCCGTACAAAAACATTGGTGAATGTCACAAATTCTCCTAAATCACTCGTACGCACAACTTAAGAACAAATCTGTGTGTATGAACGGTTCTTGCATGAGGCCCATTGTGATTATGTAAGAGCAACTCTAATAACTTATACTTGAATAGTTTTGTCTCGTCACTCACAAACACAAATTCCATTTATTCAATTACGACTCAGAAAACATGAACGCTGCTGTGAGAAGTATGATGATCTCTCACCAAGGTCGGATAAACTGTGGCAGCATGGGAGCGACCTCCTGAGGACACACGTATCCCAGTCGGCCGATGGTGATGGCTACAACAAGACGGCAGAAATTTGTCGGTGTTAAAATCCCTTCAGTGTTTCATGAGCTGTTTTGAAAAGACACACATTTGACGGCACATGCCAAGGTTTTGACTAACTTCTAGATAGTGTTGTGTTTGTTAAGGCTACTTGGCTGTGGCAACCATCTGGAATCAAGCTGACTCATTGTGATTACTTAAGGATTTCATTAAACTACTTTCACTGATCCATGAGATATTTTGCTGACAGACAAACATGGATACATGTGGGCACAAATACAGGGATAAACATTGGCTTATGATAAACAGTACACGTTTTAAATCCCACTATACCAGGGTTCTACAGTTTCAGGCAAGTTAAATTTAAGACTTTTTAAAGCCAAATTAAATTTAATTTAAGACCAATTTCACAATATACACAAAAGACAAAAAATAAAATAAAAATAAAAAAACTAGGAGAAACTCATGAATCAAAGTATTTTTGGTTGAAGTATTCAAATATTCCTAATCAATTTTAGAGTTTGCTTTTGGTTTGGGGGAGTTGCGGGGTTTTTGTTGACTTTTTAGTGCTATAACCTTTTAATTGTGTTAGAGAGTGGGGTGGGGTGTTTATGCATTTTTATTGTTGATTGTAAATTGTTTTATTTTGTACTGTTTTCATTTTTCTGTTATTTTCTTTTGTTGTTTTTATTATTGTTAGATGTTGTGTTGAGGCCTGCAGATGTAAACTAGCCATAGGCTAAATCTGGTGCAATGCATCAAATGTTTATGTTTTAATTGCACATTGTCCTCATAAAAAAATCATTCTTTGTTTTTAACCATTTCTAACTGCTTTTTTGTCAAATATAGCAGAAACATTCTTAGCAGTCAATTTTAAACTTAATTTAATTCCTGGAAATTCTCTAACGACCCAAAATTTGGTGTTTTAGGACCCACAGTGGGATCTCAACCCCAATTTGCTATAGATGAAACCTTAAAGTGCCCGTGACATCAAATTTTTTGTAAGAAATGTGAATATATTTTTGGAAAGACAACATTATTAACATATTATGAAACAAATTTCACGACGCTCAGACGGATGGTTGTTGAGATATTTGCATGTGAAGAAACAGGAAGTGATGTCAAAGAGGAAAGTCTGCATGTGAATGTTTTAATACATAAATAAATGTTACCAATTATTTTAATATTTGAGATGAATCATCCTATTTACAATGTGTTTGTGTGTTTAAGACTTCTGAAAGATTGATTTGAGACATTTTAAGGCTGATTAAAGCCTTAATTTTGGATCAATGAATTCCATGCCTTTTAAGACTTTTTAAGGAGGAACGCTGCATACACTTTGGTCAGTTTTTTTAATCATTTACATACCGGTGTTCTCCAACAAAGTTTTAGGTGTGTTTGGTCGATTAATGATCTCAACCAGCTGGGTCAGAACCATAGCAATGTATGGCTGCATCTCCACTCCTGACAGAGCAAAACAAACACAGTCTCTGATATACATGACTACTTCACTGTCTGACATCAATAAAAAAACCTGCTGCCACTCACCCATCTGCATGCAGATCTCCCCAATGGCCCAGGTAGCATTGTTGCACACAGAGATAAATTCTGGGTTCAGATTGGTTCCGAGGATCGGCATGAATTCAGCTAAAGGACACACAAAAGTATTGCAGAGAAAATTGAAAACGAGACTTCAGGTTTTAGAGGCTTTAACATGATTTTACAAATAGGGTATATTTTAATTACTTTCCACAAAATAAAAATCCAGTGTTCTTTTTAAACATATCCTTTTTAATCAAGCTATATCTCCATACCTATTTATAATTGATGAACTCAAAAAGATGTCAGAACATAACTGTAGGCTGCAGCACAAACTACAGTAATTTGAAGACACATCTAATAATAATCAGATCAATGCTAAAAGATAATTACCAATACATGGTTTGACATGAGGGAAGCAAGCTTTAGTCAAGTCTCCCAGCAGAGCAAAGGAACTCTGCCTGACCTCAGGCATCGTATCCTGGAACAAAAAACACAGAGAAACAAAGAAAATATAAACACACACCATCAGGGGTGGAAATATGAAAATCTTGTATCAGCATTTAACCAGCCACTATCTGTCTTTTGTGTATAACATTGTGCTCTAATTTTATTGTTTTGTGCCTACATTTAGGTACTGGCACTCAAAGTTTAACATTCATGGCAGGTATATTGTTTTTCTGCTCAAACCCATTAATTCTGTAGAACAATTTTCAACGTACGCCTAAGTTTTTTTTTTTTTTTTAACAGCATATTCAAGCCGGCCTGTTTGCCCAAAATTAAAAAGGTGGCAGCTTGAGGCCTCTCCTTTTCTTTCTGTTTTCTCATTACCACAAACCTTGCTTTTTTATTAAAATACCATGTAAGTGGAACACCTCTAAGTTTTTCAGGTGCTTTGCCTGCTTGGAAAAAAGTTTAGCCTTAAAAATGCCTTTGGGTCAAATTTAGAAGGTGGAAAAATTACAAAATTATTTTAATTATTATTGAAGGTCCAGAGCAGGGCTTATTCAACTGGTGGCCCGCAGGCCACATCCGGCCCGCAAGTGACCAAAGTTCGGCCCGCCAATTGGTTCAGTCATCTCTTAAGCTCAAACCCGTTTTTCTACTTTAATTACTATAAGTTCTTTTAGTTAAACATAGACATGTTTGGTATCTACAGAAACATATAAGCTGGTAAAAACCATTTCTATGCACACTCAAGACAGTTAAAATTACAAGCAGTTGAAGATAAAACTATGAAAGTGAAAATAAAATTGGTTTAATAATTTGGCAAGTCAGAGATGTCAAAATAATATTTGTGTTAAACAGGAGGCAGAATGTGTTCTTTTTGTTTTTAATATTGTATAATTATCACTACTTTTATAGGGTTCTGTATGTTGTATTCATGATTAAATGAAGCAAAACAAACTGATTCAAAGGTAACAGATCTTTGTAATACTTAATTTACATAATGACTTTAATTGCTGGATGTTCGGCCCCTCAGCTGTTGGTCCGCAGTAACTGTGGCCCCTGGAGCAGTTTAGTTGAATAGCTCTGGTCTAGGGGAAATTTGCCTCTTTAATTTAATAAATGCAGCTTTTTCCTTTCATGTCTTGCAGTTTTTGTTCTATATAAGAACAAATATGGGTCTATTTCTGTTCTAAGTGCAATGTGAATGTCAAATGGAAATCCCCCCCAGGTTCAAAGGTCTGGCACCAATGTTTACACCACAAGGTTCATTTTGATGCCTAATCTTCCTGAGTTTTGATTTGGGATTGCATCGAAAAATATGAAGTAATTTTTTAAAACAAACTTTAGTCAGACCAACAACAATATATCTTTGATATATTTGATATATCAAATATATTAATAATTTTGATATACTAATAATATATTAATAATTTTAATATGACATTCCCACAAATAAAACTAGACATGGGTTTTTACGATGTAAAAACAAGTGTGCATTGCCTTGTAGCATGTCATTGCAGCATGGCTTTACCTGCAGCAGTGGACTTGCAGAATGAACTGTGACCAAGTTCAAATGTGTTTTCTATACCAGCTTGAGCTTGTCAAGTCAGCAGGTGTTTGTAATGAGGATAATTGTGTGACAATATGATGTTTGTAGAGATTTTTTGTTAAAGTTGCTGTAGCTGGGTTTTGAACCCTGCTCTCCCACATGAAAGTCGATAGAGTTAACCATTAGACTATTTGAGCTGTGGCAGAGGGCATTGCCAGGGGTTAGTTTGTATGTGTGCAGAAAGAGGCCACATCGCCAATGCAATTGTTGACACTAAACTTCAATATATTACAACAATAGAGCAATATTAGGACAACATTATAGTAAAACATAAAAATACAATCATATTAGTATTGTAACCAATGAACTATTGAGATTAAACATTATTAAACTATTGTTCATTACTGAGTAGATACAGCAGGGGGCAGTATTGGAACAATACAAGGCTCCATTGACTCCCATTATAAATTATAAAACATTAATTTTTCAAAAACTACAAGTTGTACAGGCACCAAAAGGCATAGCCATCATTTGGCACAGGAGCTTTACAGATATAAATTACAATGGCAGCTCTAGGACAAAGGATGCAGGAGGAGAAGCGTGCCAAAGTGGACATGACTTGGATGGGAAACAAATCACAATAGTGTGCATTGGCAATGCGCACTGATGAAAGGCAGCCACTGCTGCTCCCAACAGATGAGTACAAATTAAAAGCAGCTTCTTCTGTTCAAACCGCAAACCCAGCACTGTGGCTGCTGCAGTGCTCAAATGTACACATCATTTCATGTATTTACCCACATTTGGTCAGTGGCAGGTGCTAATTTCCACCCCTGCACACAACACGTTTATCTTAAACTTAGTCAGTGGAACACTTAGCAGCTCGCTGATTTGATTTCTTTCTTTTTTCTCCTTCCAACCCATTAAAAACAGAGAGAATGAGGAAAGCAAAAGCAGTTCTTTTAAGACGTATAAGAGCCATAAAACAGTCCAGAAGCAACTGAACTCTGCTCACCTGCATGCACTGGAAAAGCAAAGTCATGATGTTACTGCGGGCCACAAGAGTGTCCACGTGGCCCCCGAGCCCCTCGGCCAGACCACTTAATAGATCCAAGGCCACGATCATGAAGTCCTTGTCGGGTGCTTCGTACTGGTCTGGCTGCTGGCTGTACATCTGGAATACACAAACACAGCCAAGGCTGTTTATGGAAACCACCATAATAAATAGGGCTGGGTTTAAAAAAATCGATTTAATCAATCTGGATCGATTCTCGTTCAAATTTGGGAAAATCGATTCTAAGGTCATGAGATCGATTTTTTCCCCATGGGTGCTGTGTGTGATGAAGCTGCATGTTTCCACGCTGTTTGTCACTCCTGGCTTGCTGTAGTTGTCGGTCAGTGCTAATGTTAGCTCCCGTCAACAAGTTGTCCGGGGCAAAACAAAAGTAACTAAGGAATCACTAACATTACAGCTGATTCTCAGCTGAACTTAAACATAACAGAGACCATAGTGACTTTTTTTTTTGTTGCAAAGATTTGCGCTCGGACACGGTAGCGGGAAACGAAGCGGGTTTCGAGCGGCTCGAACCAAAACTACAGTATGTAAACATCTGACTGAAACTGTTCTCCTCCTGTATAAATGTGTGAACGATGACAGTTTAACAAAATCATTTAGTTTTGTTACTTATATTATTTATAAATTTTAGAAACATCTTAATGTAATTCACAGTGATGGAATGTTTTTAGCTGATGTACTGTTTTTTCTTTCTTTCTTTTCATTAATAAGTTTTATTGAACAGAAGGTAACAGAAACGTTACAAATATAAAATTATCCCAAAAGAGTGGGCAGAAGTATACACTTATATTATCCCACCTCCTCTCCTGTAACCTTATTCCATCACTTCTTAGTGATCAAGAAAATTATTCTTAATTTCTTAAAAAACTAATGTTTCAACAACACTTTCTCTTGCAATTCCTTTTTAGGTTAAACCTTTGAAACTTGAGACAGTTTTGTTTCAAGATTAAACTCCAATTTACAAGTTTGCCCTTTATGTTTATAATTTTAACCAATGTCTTACATATTAAAGAAAATGTGTTACTGCTTGATATCCTTAACTAATTTAAAAATCAATCAAACTGAATCGTGAATCATCCTGAATCGTTGTGAATCATGAATCGTGAATCGAATCAATTTGGGAAATCTGAATCGATACCCAGCCCTAATAAAAAGTTAGTGCCAACAGTTCGTGGTGTGAGCAGGTAGCGGGGCTCACCATAGCCTGAGCCAGTGTTTTCTGGACCAGAGTGACGCAGCGCTGGTACACGGGCTCGCAGTATGGGAGGAAGCCACTCTGCAGCGCTGTGGCAACAGATGACAAACATTCAAGCAGAGGAAACAGGTCTTTGTCTTCATCTTTCAGCTCGTTCCACTTCGCGATCAGAGGAGGCATCAGCTTTTGTATGTACTCCTAGAAGAACAAACATAAAAGTTCAGTCGATGACATAAAACAACCTTATCTGGGATGTCTAACTACACAAGCTGTGTGAGGGTTTAGGACTCACTGGCTGGTTGAGATGGTGTCCCACAGAATCTGCCAAGGTTCCTATGGCATCGTAGAGAATGAGCAAGTTCTTGTGTTGGTACTTCCCGAAAGCAAAAACCAGCGTGTCCAGGATGAAGCTCAGATACGGAACCAGCTCCGTGCACGCCTCCTCCTCGAGGGTAGCAAAGGCGCTGCAGGGAAAAGACGACGGGTGAGGATATATGAGCAGGAAGTGGGAGGAAACAAGGACGATAAAGAACTAAAGGCTGCACCTGCACGCCGCCTCCTGAACTCGCTTATTGCCATCAAGGATGCGTTTGAGAAGTTCTGTCATGAGGGGTTTAAGGTGAGCATCGGGGGGCTGGCTGACCACCCAGTGGGCGTAGCGACTGAGAGTCCAGCAGGCGATGGAGCGGACCAAAGCCTTCTTGTCACACAAGCATTGGATGAGGTGGGGAATCAGTTCAGGCAGGTAAGGTACCATACCCTGCATACAACCTGAAAAGAGACAAAACATTTTTATGGTTATAGCTTTTATTCTTATTGTGTGAATGCTGACTCGGCATATAGTGTTCTATGACTTTTGTTTTTTAACTTTAAAAATGTTTTAATGTTTAACTTTATTTTAAATAAAATCCTTAAACTTGTTCTACTTTTGTCTTCTTGTGCTATTGAACTTTTAGATACTGTTTTTTTCTACACTTAGACTTTAACAACGTTTCTGCTTCTTTTGGCTACTCTTTAGCTTTTTTAGCTAGAGTTTGGCTGATTTTAACCTTTGCATTCGTTTTGTTTTTCCTGCTATTTTGCTCATTTTAAAGGGGCAATATTATGTGTTTCTCAGGCATACATTTAAATACTATACCATAGTAAAATATCTATGTCACCTTTAGCTGTTATTAAAATGCTGTTTTCATGTTTAAATAGAAAATAAACTTATCTTCTCATCACTTCCTCTTCCAAACGCCTTGGAATTTGCCTCTGTCTCTTTAAGAACCACTTTCCGCTTCCGTTTTGATCATTTCAGTGGGGTGGGGACGCTCGCGAAGGGGTGGGGG